GCATCTATGAATGCAATGTTAGAAAAATAGTTATCATCATTCATAAATTAGTAATCAATCAATTCCAGTAATCATTCCAGTATCAACCATAGAACTTATATATCTAATGCGAACATAATAAACAGTATTGAAAAATGTTGACATCTCATTAGTATCTTTTTTATGTTGTAGCATCAGTCTCCAAAATGCCGACTAACCTAACAATCGGCTGCTTCCTTGTGGAGTGGGACAGTCACTTACTCAACTGGCAAGATGCAAAAGACACATGTACTGCATTAGGTGGTGCTCTAGTCCAAATAAGGAATCATAAAATGAGCAACTGCTTACGTGATTGGCTTTATAAAAATATGGATACCTATGGTGATTTATGGATCGGACTTTTTGATTATACAAACACTGGCAGTGTACATGTCACTAACTATGGGTGGACTGATGGTACAATGCTTACGTCCGATATTTTTCAAAATTGGGCATCCGGCGAACCAAATTATGGTGGGAAATGTGGACAACTGTGGTATGTCATCAAACAGTATAGATTGTTATACCTACAGATAAAATATATTGTTCACCAGTGATCAATGAGCGAGATATAAGCTCACAACATATGATTCAGCGGTCAAGCATGAAAGACCGAATTTAAAATGCTATATGTTTCGTCTGAGAATAGACAGTTAATCTAACACTAAATACAAATATTTATCACGAGTGGCCCTAAAATATCAAATTGATTTAAAGAATGTATTCATTTTCATTTGTTATGATCGTCAGAGAGGAACAAATAACAATTAGTACAAGGATTTAATTATTCTAGAGTCACGAACGTTTGTCTCAGTTGTCATTAATGTATCAAGGTGAAATTCTCGGCCTCGGGGTTCTCCACACGTGTCAGGGGGAATCTCGTCTCGTCTCTATATCGCGTCCCCTTGAGGTATGGGATCGGGAAAGTCACTTAAAACTTACAGTCAAATAGACGCACACGATGAAATACGTTTCAACTCTCGTCTTAGTTGGTCAGTGGAGCACTCTATAAGACACAGCGCCCTGGGGAAAAGTCCCCAAGACTATTGCAAGGCTGACCCAAGACTAGCCCAAGACTGCATCAAGACTCGCCCCAAGACTCTCCAGGACTCGACTGCGTCTTTCGTGGTGTTCTCCTCAAGACCAACTAAAACAACTTTATTCATTTTCAAAACCTTAACCAATTACAAAGCAGTAAAAAGACTCTAAGGCGTAACCTTCAATCATACAGCCAATCACACTAAGTACTGAACACGTCATATCTTTTGATTAATCGTTCACTACATTAATAATTGCGAATATTAACTGTCAGAAATAGTAGTCCGAATAGCGACGGTTATCTCGTAATTAGTTCCAAATCACTGAGTCGAGTTCCGTCCAGAACCTCGCCTAAATGATGACAGACATAACACAGCCATTCGTTAGTAATTGTTATGATCGTCAGAGAGGAACAAATAACAATTAGTACAAGGATTTAATTATTCTAGAGTCACGAACGTTTGTCTCAGTTGTCATTAATGTATCAGGGTGAAATTCTCGGCCTCGGGGTTCTCCACACGTGTCAGGGGGAATCTCGTCTCGTCTCTCTATCGCGTCCCCTTGAGGTATGGGATCGGGAAAGTCACTTAAACCTTACAGTCAAATAGACGCACACGATGAAATACGTTTCAACTCTCGTCTTAGTTGGTCAGTCGAGCACTCTATAAGACACAGCGCCCTGGGGAAAAGTCCCCAAGACTATTGCAAGGCTGACCCAAGACTAGCCCAAGACTGCGTCAAGACTCGCCCCAAGACTCTCCAGGACTCGACTGCGTCTTTCGTGGTGTTCTCCTCAAGACCAACTAAAACAACTTTATTCATTTTCAAAACCTTAACCAATTACAAAGCAGTAAAAAGACTCTAAGGCGTAACCTTCAATCATACAGCCAATCACACTAAGTACTGAACACGTCATATCTTTTGATTAATCGTTCACTACATTAATAATTGCGAATATTAACTGTCAGAAATAGTAGTCCGAATAGCGACGGTTATCTCGTAATTAGTTCCAAATCACTGAGTCGAGTTCCGTCCAGAACCTCGCCTAAATGATGACAGACATAACACAGCCATTCGTTAGTAATCAGCTAATTAAGTCGATTAACAGATACGCAAAAACAATTTCATCACAAATGAATGCTGACTAACCCTTATGTGATAACTGTGTAATATGTTTTGTTTTGGGGCCATCAATTTATAAATATATATGGTTTTAGGCGTGTGTTGGCATAACATAACTATTACTTTTTAAGTAAAATCACTCATAGGCCTTCAAACACAGTTCATAACAACCCTTCAAAAATATAGTGTGAAACATCGAAGTCCAAATAAGGAATTTGAGATGTTGGCATAGTTTGAATTTGATAGTCACGGGGTCAACGGTCATTTCACTTGTATTGACCTATCAGATCACTGGAATTATGATCACATATTATGAATATATTGAACATTAATACACTGCTTTGTTGCATTGAACTAACAAGGTATATGACAGGTATGCTAATATCACCCCATATTTCACCTAACGTGTTATGCTTACAGGAAAGCCACTGGCTATGGTTGGGATAATGATCGTTGCGATATATTGAAACAGTTTCTTTGTGAATATGATGGTAAGTATTAACACAAATATTTTCGAATATGTTTCTTCAAATAAGACGATTCATTTATATATTACAGATAACTACATCACATATTATTGGTAGGCGATTAGAAATAATAGCAGACAAATATAACGTGTAATAAACATGGCTCTACAGTGATAAATTGTATACAAAGTATCAGGGAATTACTTAAGGTATAGATGCAGGTTCGTGGGCATTTGGGAGTGAATTTTTTTTTTGCTTTTTATTATCCAAACAATCTTGGCTATAGACTGTTAAAATTTTGCAGCATTGTGAATAGGGGAACTCAAACATATTTTTTTAAAATATACAGGTACTAGCATTTTCTCTTTTGAATGCTTAGCAAAGTTGTACATAAACAATTAAAAAGAAAAAAAAGTAATGACGGGATCTCCATATTATGCACTATATTTAACTTTTTACAAAACGATAATACATTTACATTTAGAACTGTTACAGCTATTTTAATTATGAGCATTAGCAAACTTCTTACTGAGTGAATGGTTATGAAAATTAGCTATTATCTCCATTTGTGTTTTCAGTTTACCAGGGATGTTCAAATCTAAATAGCTCTTACAATTCTTGTTTATTTCAAGTGAAACTTTCACACAACGTTTATCGGTTGTTTATCAACATATGGGCCTCCAGGTGTATATATAGTATGTTTTGTTTTCATATTATTAAGTTGTCAAGCAGGATGTGTGTCGTAGCCACATTACTTTGTTCGTCTAATTCATGTTAACTTCTACTGAATCAGAAAATACTGAAGAACAAAATTATCGCCCAGACGTGTAGTAGAACCGTTTACAAATTCCCTAAGATATAACCCACTAGCTTCGATTAAGATCTATTACAAAATAATATACTGTAGGTGTTGTCAAATCTTTAAAATCATAACTAAACTATTCAATGCGACTGGAAATATTCAGCGATGGCACATGAATATAACACAAAGACTGACATATACAGAAGAAATCAAATATATGCATACCTGCATCCTTTTGTCCCCGTGGCCTGGGACATATTCTAATTTCAACTTTGTATGTTATCAAATACAGGCCATAACATTATGTTCTAGATTCATGTTTGAGTGTTCTAAAAAAAGGCTATACTATTATCAGCGTAGAGTAACTGCATTGTACTGTACAGCGTAATTGAATTGAACTGATTGTATTGAGTAATTCACCGATATCACCAAACATGAATTAACATTACATATCATTACTAATCCTGTTCATGGTTTTTAAATCGACTGAATAAGCATTTAGACAATCCTTATGACAATTGGTCCAATATTTTGTAACGAAACGAAAACTAGTATCAAGTCCGGGGGTATAACAGAAATACTGAGTGGAAATAGTCAATGACAGGTAACAACAGTCCTCAAAAAATTCAATTGTTTGTAATGTATTGTATATTTCAGTTTGCTGACTGACATCTAAAAGAAATCTGGCACCATCTACACAGAAATATTCTATCTTTACTGAGCTAACTTATTGGTGCATACTGATGTACAAAGACAAAGTATAAATACATTCCATGCGTATGTCATTTCATGTGTACTCAGTACAATGTTTAATATGTGAAGGTCATTAAAATGATACTGTCAATATCCAATAAGAATTCACTAAAATTATATAATTTGTATTAGGCGGCGGAGTCACGTCGTCACCCACAAATGTATTTATTTCTATCATGTAAACAGCTATTCGCAGGATATGGCATACTTAAATCGTAGTAGTAAATAGTTTTAATACTTTCTAAATCTGAGATGATGATGTTTACTATTTGATTTTTAAAATTAGACAAAAGCTCAATTTTAATTCTTCAAGAAATGTATTAAATGCGCTGCTTTTCAATTTTTACATTGTCATCTATGTGATGTGTAATTGTAGTGATTTTAGCACATGATAATGACATTTTTTCTGATTGCTTTTATATTTATATATCTATGTCAATATGGAAAGTAGTTTTTTGTCGCGAATGTTGTTTTGAATTATTTAGCAGTAACTGAATAGACCTTAGCCACAAATGGCTGCCGGGTTCTATAGTTAAGAGTGAGAGAGTTACAAGATTTGTTCCGCAAATAACGTTTCATTTCCTCCTGTCATAGTGTATACTGCTGAAAATACCATAATGATGATGACATAGCGGCACAATGGGCGTGGTGACAGGAGACGTTCTATTTTAGGAACAAACAACAAGTCTCGTGGCTAACGCACGAGATCTGCAAAATGCGTGTAATGTTCATATAGTGATAATATGCATTAAAACATATATACAATTGATTATTCTTCATTTTATTCTATTCATACATTACAACAATATAAACATTCATTGGTTCAACATGATGGGTTATAGTTAATTTGTGTCTCCTTACGTTTTTCCAATTTGGTAAAATCACACAAAAAAACAAGGACTTTCAAACCATAAACCTTTTATAACATTTTTCTGTGATATGATAATGATTAACTAGGAAATACAATGAATTTTATATATAAAATATATACAAGAAGCCGGTTTTTGTAAAGTTCATTACACACGAATATTTGCGGGTTTTCTTTATTATTGACCGCATCTGTTTAAGCGCTATGATTGGTCAAGTTGATTTCAAATGTTATAATAAAGCGGGAAGGTCGACAGCTGCGCACGCGCTGCAATTGATACCCAAACGATGATAACAACACACGCTAAAAACGCAAAGGCTCATTGGTCGACGCTTGTTTGTGAACAATGACACGCTATGATGCATGCGCAGGTGAGGAGTCCCCCGCTTTAAAATGTGCATGAATATAAGAATAACTCATAGTTATATGAAATCCCTGAAAACTAATTATCAATAAGTACAGCGACATTTACCCGAAACCTAATAAACGCCAAATCCAATCTTCAAAGCACAGTCACTTGACAGCTAAAAATCTTAATAAATCAATCAGTACGATTTATGTAAAGTTGGGATTGCCCCTATAATTCCTACATTCACCCATATATATATGCCTCCACACGTACGTATTGCACTCCAAATATAATTTTGAAATCTTACTATAAGAAAAAATACTGACCCACCATTGCTATGGCAACACCCACAAATATGCTTATTGGTCTAGTTACTATTTTATTTTATGAACCGAGATCAATGCATCCGCTGTGCATTACGCCAAATTTCCAAATGAAAGAATATTTCAACACTTCAAAGTTCATCGAGTGTTTAAATGTTCAAGTCTAGAAAGCATTCAATTACAATAGTGATTCTTGGAAATTATTGAACGTTTAAATCAATCAAGTGGTCAAGTATAACAAGCAAGTCAGTCTAATTAGTGTTAGACATAGCAGAGAGAATTTCAATCTACCGGCGTATCTGTATGTCTGTACGTACTAACGTTTCTGTAATGTGTTTACCTGCAAAAGTCAATATAGCATAGCAACGACTAACACACACATTGTTTACCCCTCCACCAACCCTCTGGCTAGTTATTATTTACCCACATTTTTCATCTTTACTCGACGATATGAGATCAAGTAACTAAAGTAAATAAATCGTTATCGATTAGAGATCAATACACAATTAATAAACGTTCTGAAGGTTGGTTAGTTAAATCGACCGTTAGAGTTTATAGAAAACTGTTATATGTTAATGTACTTTCATTCACATTTACTTGAGGGCTTCAGCGAAAATATTTAAAAACTAAAAAGCTAGTTGCAGCCTAACAATACATGTATCGACATTGGCATGTTACTTTAGTAACTGTTTTCTATGTTAATGTTTCTGGGCTGAAACATTTTTATCGATCGCGAAGCGTT